TAAAAGATTTCAATACACCCAAACAAATAAATATCCTACAATAGGCAAACAAAGAAAGAGACAGCATAGATGCATTGGTAGTTAGTAATGCCAAGGCAGGGTTGATTATATTGGTCCAAAATATGAGGATTGGGTCTGAAATGGCCACACTGCTAGCAATACAGAGATGTTGCAAGAACGCCCAAAATTAGGAATTCATCAGCCACATATCAAAACGAAGAGCATTAATGTGAATATACACTGACCCAGAATGACATTAAAAGAAGCTAAAAAAAGAAAGAGTAAACATTCTTTAAGCATTTTTAACACCAATCTAAATGTAATTTCATAATAAAAATTCCTATTAATACCATGTGAAGAAATACAATCAAAGTTTATAGTCAACCCCTAGGGATGCATACATCAAAATTGAATGAATAACAGAAAAACTTACATGAAGTAACGCATGCCTGTCCTCGCTACGAAGATTTTGGAAAAGATCACTGAGGACAAAACGGATTGCTGCATTGGGGAAATTTGTTAAATGGAGAATCTAACATACAAATATAAAAACATATAAAGGTAGATAAGTAGGTAAATAATATATGCAAATAGCCTACCATGAAAAAAGTTTGACTTTCCAGAACCATTAGCACCAACTGCATGCAGCAACAAACTCCAAATTAAAGACAAGAGGCATTGTTGCATAAACCCACAATAGCATATACATAATCAGTATTAACATGCAAGCATGTACGTAACAAAACACCAGCAAATACTACATATTTCCACTGCCAAAATACCTACACTGAGACGCACAACATGCTGCTAGGCAAGTTCAACCAACAGCAACATTCCAACTAGTCATCCAAAGATTGTATTTTCCACCAGAAATACAATACCATAAAACCAACTCTTACCCTACTAAAATAATTGCATTCCAAAAATGAGATCATAACCTCAAATGTCAAATTCGCGCACAGATAGTATTCACTAATCTTTTATTTCACTCGAAGGATTATTTTATTTAAAATATATATATATAATAAAAAGAATTTACAGCCTCAAACGTCAAAAATTCAAAAAGCATATCACTTCAAGCTTTAATTACTGATGTAATAGCTAAACAAACATATGCTTTTTTTCTCTGAGTCATAAGCTGAAAATTTTGTTGCAAAAGACCCTATGTAGAGATAAATAGCAGAAATTAGGAGAAAGGGCAAAGGGGTACATGAGCAAAGCTCTAGCTAGACGTAATAGTAATCACAATGTTTGTATATGAGTGAGAAACTAAGAATGTATTTAATGTGAATAAATGCTTCTTATAAACCCCCCAACATCCCAATTAAAACAAAAATAATAAAATTCCTAGGACTTTCATATTTAATGGCTTGGGAAAAGAAAAAAAAAAAAAAAAAAAAGAGCAGACTAATATATTCTCTTAGCAATGCAAATTTAGTAAACAAAAAAAAAAAAGTGTCCAGAAGCATACATTATCTGGATATAATCATGTGTCATAAGCTCACCTTAATAATAGGAAAAGTCACTGTGTGTAATTTTTCGGTTATTTGTCTTAGTAACAGTCAAATGCAAGCACGTAATATAGTAACCAGATCATCAGATAGCTATGTATCGCATCCAAAAAAAAATACTTCAAATAATCCCAAACCATGATCACCCATTATGTTGGAGGATCATCATTCCCTCACTTTCTACATCTATATCACGTAATTTTAAAAACAATGTTCCTGGATTCCGAGTTTTCTGACTACTTGAAAGATACAACATCTGTTTCCTTTTATGGCCCATATTTTCGGACGGTGGATGTCATGAGCAGTACAATATAAGTAAATTCACAGCAGGAGAATCAAAGAGAAAGACAAACAACAGTGAAGATAATCAGGAAGAAAACCATACCTACACAATTAACCTTTGAACTAAATGCTTCAGTGGCCACTTGTTCTTTATAACTCTTAAAACCTTCAATAATAACCTTCACATAAAATCGAGACGAATTGTAACAAAAAACACAAACTAATTAGACTTACAACCAAAATAATCACCAAAAACACACTCAATTATCCAATATTCAAACCCAAGTGTCTTCAATTAGGGTTTTAAACTAGTAAAAAATCATAAAATTAGGGATTACCTGCTTTATATGCATGATTACAGCAGATACACTATGCCGCAACCTCTGCAAATGAAATCAAACCGAAATCAAAACTTTATGTAACTGCATCATAAATCAAAAATGAGAACTAAAATGATAAATGGAAGTAAGCAGAAGATGATTAAGTATAAATTAACCCTAAAATTGAAGAGAAAATCAGCGAAATTGAAGAAAAGAAGCATGAATTTAAGTTCTAGGGTTTGAAAAAACTTACGACTTGCAGCAATCAGTGAGAATTGATTGGGAAAAATAGAAGAGAGAGAGATGGAGTAACGAAGGCGGGAGAGTAGGAGAGAGAAAGAAAATGCGAATTTCGTGAAAAATGAGTTGTACGATGAAAGTTTTGGGGAATTTTTGGGTCGCCAAAATAAAATTGCAAATCTTAAAATTCCCGGGTTACTGAAGCTGGGTGTAAATTCCCCATTTTAAAATTTCTATTTTATTTTTTTCTACATTAAAAAAAAATGGACAATATTTTTTTGGTAAATATACGAAGTAATATTTCCTTCAAAAAAAATGAGCTTATTTGAATTACAAAAATTTTTGTATACATCCGATTTACACTAATATTAGTGTACATCGAGTAGTATAATGGTAACTTTTAGCTAAATTTAGAGTAACTTTTTGTCTGTTTTTGGGTAACTTTAAACATAATACAATCTTTATATAAATAGACAACAAGAAAAGTTTTTTAAAGGTAATTTAATTACATTCAATCATTAATAATTGATTTTTAGTCATTTAAAATGTGAATCTTTACTAATAAAGTGTAGATACTTTTTATTTGAATTGGGTTACTTTTACGCATATTGGGGTAACTTTTATTCATTTCAGAGGTAACTTTTAATCACTTTAAGCTATCTTTATAATGGATGTACAATAATTATTGTACACCCGATTTTTTAAAAAGTTTGTGTTTGAATTATTGTGTTTTGTGTATATAAAATTATAAATTAAGATAAAGTAAATAAAAATGGAGAATTATTTCAAAGGCAAAAGCTAACGAGCGGATAAGCTAACTAAAAGTAGATTAGTTAAATTAACATTAACATTAATTACACCGATCGACGCGTAATTTTGTCATATTTTATCAGATTAATACCACTTTAGGTAATATTTAAATCCTTGTCCAACTAAATTGTAAATACCCTTAATGGTAGCAAAATTAGCAAGAATTTATGTACCAAATCAATAATAGCAAGAGTGTGCAACAATCTTCTCTACTTTCTATACTAGACTTAGGCTGAATTATTGTTGCTCATATTTCAAATCTTTTTCATTATTTCTTATTTAAAAATAATAATAATTGACAGAAGAATCAAATACATTCGAAATATTTACAGCAAAAAAAAAAAAAAAAAAAAAAAACACTCAAATAATCATAAAACGTTTTCCATTCAATTTTAATTGTACTCCAATATTTTTTAAAACAAAATATTATGTATATTTTAAATAATTTCTAAGTACAAATTACAAAAACTCTTTTAACGGCAACTTTAATGACTTAAATATTGTGTTAAACTAATGTTCGTTAAATAATGAAGATTACCGTGCATGACACGAGACTTAACCTAGTAAAAAATAAAAATGGAGTACATAAAGTCCTGGATGTTAATTGTGAATAATGGTAAGGAACAATGGTAAAAAAATGAGTACATGCTTTTGGGTGGATGAGGGATGAAAAGGGTGATATTCTAGATAACACTAGTTTATTTCTGTGCAATGTACGTCTTTAATAACAAAAAAAATTACTTGATTGTAAACAACTAAACGTGTAATATAAATATATACTTATACTAGCTTAGATTCCGTGCAACACATGATATTACAAAAAAAAAAAAAATTATATTTCAACGATTTCATAGTTAAACAGCTTATAAAAAATATAAATGTTTTTTTTTTTTTTGAAGTAAACACTCCTAATTTTTTAATTTGTTAAGTTAAGATTGATTAAGATGAAGAGAATGCACCTTAATTAAGTTATCGAGTATATATATGAAGTAAGAGAAAATAATTTAATTAAAAAAAAAAAGGAATTGATGGATGTAAATTGTGGATAATGGGTAAGGAAGAGTGGTAAAAAAATGTGTACTAGTACATGTTTTGGGCGTAGGAGAGATAAAGAGGTTGATATTACATTACTAAGGCTTTATTTGGTTCACTATTAGTAAAGGAAAAGATGAGAAAGCATGAGAAGGGAAAAGAAAGGAAAAGAAGGAAAAGGAATGTGATTTTATTTTCCAATATTTGGTTAATGAAAGGAAATGAAGAGAAGATAAAGAAAATCACTTTTATTTTTCTCTTTCCAATCAAATTCCTCCAATTTTAAGAGGAAAGGAAAGCTAAAATTTTGTTAAGAGAGTTTCCTCCAATTTCCCTTCCTTTCTTTTAGATTTTTATGTCGTCGTTTATTCAACCAAACATGGGAATATGATTAAAACAATTTCCTTTATTTTCTTTTCCATCCAACTTCCTTCAACCAAAAAAGGCTTAAAAGTGTACGAAAGATAAACTAAGGTTGAGTCAAAATTACTAAAATATCTAACTAATAACAAAAAGTTGAACATTTAAAAACAAAGAGTGTGTAGTGATTTTTTTACCTAAAATTTAATTTACCTTGTGCAGCTAATCAAAGTCCTTAAGCTTTATTAGCTACTCCGTATTAGCTAATTAAATTTGGATATCACGAATTATGTACTCTACATATAGAGTTGCATCCCTTTTTACAAATGATCATTTGTATGAAATACATCGGAGTTATTGCTAGATGATGAGTACATGAGTTATTATATATTTATGGATATCCTATTGAAACATGATAGCTTATAATAGGGGTGAAATCTCAAAATCACTGAATTGTTACGTCATATTTCCATACACAATGCAATATCTAAAGAATATACAAGTAGAATTTTATCTAAGCTACTTCTACAGTTGTACATAGTACCTTTTTATTAATAACGGTACATCTTACATACAAGTTATAAGTACCTTTTCAATAGTGCATAATACTTCAATTCATATAATGAAATTCACTATAATATAACATGATGTGCAAGAAAGTATGAAGCAAATTAGTGAATTATAACATTTTTTTCATTATTATCGGATGTTTACATCATATTGATGAGTAATGACCATAAGTCGCTTGAATAAGACTATATAAGAAACCTCGGCAGGCTTGTAAACATGAAACCACGAAGGACAAAAGCTCCATGCATCATTCATCTAATTCGAGAGGCTTGAAATATTTCCTGTCGATAAGATATGTTCCAATGCTCAAACGTATAGCCCATACATCCATAGGTTTCCTAGAAATAATCCTGTCATATAACATAATTTTTTTTTGCATGATTATTTCATATTGGAATTATATCAAGAAACTACAAAAAGAATACATTAACTAATAATACACGTCCATTCAAAAAAAAAAAAAAAAAAAACTAATAATACACGTAAATTTCAGTCAAGTGTTATGTCAAAGTGGCAAATAGGCCACAATTTTCACAATAAATCCCGATTAATAAAAAATAAAATAAAAATTTGAATTTTTAAAGTATAGAAATCATATTTCACAAAATTCCTAACAATATACTAGTATTTTTGTGCCTTTTATTATATCATTGTGTTAATAAACACGAATAACTACCAATCACTACTATCCGTATAATTTTTTTAAGGGACTCTAATAAGTATCAAAATTTCACTTTGTATTGTTTTGCTTCACATCATCGTGTATAATATATATCCCGTACATTAACATAGTTATGCTTTAGTTTCACAAAATTCGTAGCAATATAATTTTGTGCTTTTTATTAAAGACGGAGTAGGAATTTTTACCTTCCAACATCGCCGGTGTTAACTAAGCCAGTATTGAGTCTAAGGCAAGGAACAGAAGCAGCAGTTTTGATCATTTGAGGAGCCTCAGTAATGATAACTGGAGAACCTACGCTCAATTTAGACGCATCTTTCTTTGTAGTCTCTTTAGGGAATGATTGTTCATTCAGCTCACACTTGGACGCAAAGCCATCGGTTCGGGTTCGGGTTCGAGTTTGAATTCTGATTATAGGTTGTAGATAAGTCACCGTTGAAGATATTTGAGGACATGGGAGTGGCTTACATTTGATGGAGGATAAAGAGAGTGACATTGGTGAGCACAAATTTTACTCTTAGAAGAATAGTTTACGGAGAGAAGGAAAGAAATAACAAAAAGTTTTGTGTGGCTCTTGTGAAATTTTGATGATGTTGGGACCTTTTGTCTTATTAGAAAATGTCAAAATCATGGATTGATTCAAAGTAATTCATAAAGTTTAGGATAGGAATATGATATTTATTTGTTAGTTAGAAATCCTATAATCCATTTCCTAAGAGTAACTACAATGATTGGCTAATTCATATAATAGCTTGTTAAGTTGTTATGTCAAATCATTTTTGTAAGCTACAACAATTCTACCTATTTGTTGCTCCAATGGTTAACCTAGTTATAAATTAATTTATTTTTAAATTTAAAATATTTTTTATCTAATAAATATCTACCAAGCTAATTAGCTCTACAAAGCTAATTTGCTTGCCAAAGCTAATCAGTAAGATGTGCAACAATGGTATAGCTATTAGTTTAAGAGTTTTAATATTTGCAAGCTAGTCCCTTTTTTCAACAATTGGAGTTGCTCTAAGTATTAGCACAGTAAGAGCAACTCCAATGGCAAGCTAATTGTCAAATTAGCTTGCCATGCCACCTAAGATTGCAAAGCTATTATTCCTGCCAGCTAATTCATACCACAATAGTTAGGCTAATTAATATTTAGATTTTTCACCTTTATTTTTTAAATAATTAGTATTTAATTAGTGACAATTAATTTCTAAGCTAATTAGCTTAGCTAAGCTAATTTGCTTGACATTAGCTTGACCAAGCTAATTATTGAATATACTCCAATGGTTGGGCTATTAGCTTGAAAATTATTAAAATTGCAAGCTAATCCTTGAAAGCAACCATTGGAGTTGCTCTAAGCATGTTTAGTGGACCATGATCCCATTAGTATTTCCTTTATTTTAGCTTGAGTTGGTTTGTTTGTTGTCTATATTAATGCTTCTTTCATACTTATATTGAATTAGTGCAATATAATGAAATATCTTTTTTCTTACGAAATTCTATAGAATACAATTCCTCAATGTGATTAAGCAAAATCAATGTTGGCAAATTTTCTTTTTTGGTGTACAAACAAGAAGTGATAAAAAAAAAAAGTAATTAATTTTTCCATACTTGTATGTTAAGGCATCACAAAAAAAATTGCAATTTTTTTTAAAAAAAATATATACATAGGAACATTGATTTAATAATATCAATTTTAGTCGATTTTCTTTTAATAACCCCAATTTTTTTTTTGTTATTCAACAAATATTATTATTGTAAATAAATTATTTTAGATGCACTAAACTAATTTTAGTGATTCCTAAAAAAAAAAAAAAAAAAAAACAACTAATTTTAGTGACAATTGGTCTGGTATGGACCCGGTCTACAATAAATTATTGTAGACCCAAAATTTGACACTTTCAAATAATATAATCCCATTGTGGATGATATAATCACTTTTTTAGACAATATAGTTATCTTTTTGTGAGTCATATTTTGAATTATATAATCTCATATTAAACCATTTAATGGGATTATATAATTATCTTTAGGATGATAAATTTAAAAATCATCTTTTGAATGATGTAATTTACCATTCCATACTTTTTATAATGATAAATTTACTTTTTGAGTGATACATTTACATAACAGTTTCAGAATGATATAATCACTTTTGTACTAATATAATCACATTTCGTATGATATAATTATATTCGTATGGTATACTAGAAGGTTGGGTCTACAATAAGTTATTGTAGACCGGGTCTATTCTAGTCTTTACCCGAAACCTCCTATTATATCCGTTCATTAAATTTATTGATTTTTATTGATTAAAACTTTACATATTTTAATAAGCTTAACTTAGTTTCAATATCTTGTCAAAAAAGAAAAACCTAGTTTTAATAAAATGAAATTAATATTAATGAACTTAAATTATTTTGACGGAATATTATTTGAATGGTGAAAAGATAAATTGAACAAGGCCTAATTCTTCAAAAAATTGAGAAAATGCATGAGACCTAAACTAAAGCTAGTTAATTTCATCTCATTATACAACCCAAATATAAACTTATTACTTTTATATTTTTAGAGTTGCTAAACAATGCTCACATTTTACGTACTAACGTCTTATTTTAAATGAATTACAATATTGTTACGTCCCACATTTAACTTTAATCAAAACCCGCCAACATTAAATTATTTCTAAAAAAAAAAACAATAGAATAGTAATCTCTCTGTTAAAAAAATGTAACAAAATAAAAGTAGTTGAGAGAATTGAAGGAGTGAATATGAAATTAATAAAGTATGGTTTATGTTGGGTCTACTAGTTGAGAAAAACGAATTAAATATTGTAAAAAAATTTCTAAATAAGGAAATTGAGCAAGTATTTTAAAACGGCCAAAAACGTAAAGTGGAGCAAGTATTTAAAATTGTAGAGAGTAAGCACTAGACATACCTTAAAAAAAAATCATATAAACAATAAACATACATTAAATGGTAAACCACAACCTTTAATAAAACCCGACGAACATAATAATCAAAATCAGAGTAAGCACTAGACATACCTTTTACAAAAATTAAAATAACACATGTAAACTTTGAACATATATAACAAATTTAAACCACGACCATTTATTTATCAAAATTAAACCTGCCAAAAAAAAAAAAAAAAATGAAACAAATAGAGTAATAAGGAGTAAGTGCTAGACATGCTTTAAAAAAGAGTCATGTAAACTAGTGTATGATGTAGAACAAGTTCCTATTAAAAGTTATTGGTCAACGATTTATCGAATCCAAAAATTGTGTGCTGCTAGAGGTGAGGTAGATATTAAAAACGATACTACACATACCATATCAGTTACAGTGGTGGACCACTGTCAGGTATTCACCATTCATTTTACAAGTAGTTATAATGGTTTTAATTAAATCTTATGTTATTGAGTTGTGAGATAGACAATTACTTGTATGAGCCAAGGAGTAGTAATAGATGGAAACAAAAGAAAGAGGCGAAATATGTCGTCGAAGGTGTAACAGGTTTGGAAAAAGGTTTTATCGGAATATATACTAATTAACCTAAAAAACGGATTGTTTGGGGTGAAAATTAAGTTTGGATATCACGTATTAGTTTGCGCAGCATTATTCATGTTTTAGACAATGCTATATAAAATCTTTTTTATTATATACTAACTTAAGCCTCGTACCCTGTACGGTAAGTTCAATTTTATTTTTAAAAAATTAATTCTATTTAGTAAATAAAGTTTGATACAATATACACATCAATATATTGAAAAATATGTTGTAATAATCTATATTAAAAGGCAAAGCAAAAGATTAATACGAAGTATATATATATATATATATATATATATATATATATATATATATATATATATATATATATATATATATATATATATATATATATATATATATATATATATATATATATATATATATATATATATATATATATATAACATTTAGTGTTATAAAGGTTATTTTACTCTTTTATAAGTGATTTTATAATTTAATATGATGAAAAATTTAAGTGACACTATGTTAAAATCATTTATAATCAATTTTTTTTTTAAAAAAATCTAATAATTATTTGTTTAAAAGAAAAATAAAAAGAGTTAGAATAATATTTAAAATGTGTATGGAAAAATTAAGAACACTATATATAAACAAAATATTTACGATTTTCATTAAAATGGAATATAAATTTAGAGGGAAAACACAACACCAAAATGTTTTATTATTAATTTATTGATTGTTTACGCATTATTTTTTTTTAATTTTTGATAAAACTAATAATAATACACAATATAAAAAACTTTATATGGTATTGTCTAAAATGTGAAATAGTTGGTATTATTTTTCAAATTTTCCATAAATTAAACTTGTATGATAATGAGTCAATTGTATATTTCTACATAATTTGTTAATACATAAATAATTTAAATATAATTTTTTTCATGTTGATTGATTTACTTATTATCAGGTGGTTGTCCTTCGTTTTGTTTCGTCGGAATATAATAAACTATTCTGATCACGATGGTAGAAAATATACCCTTGTATATTATTTACATGTTTGGAAACTTTGAGAGTTATGAATTGGATATTTTGTTATTGACGTCCAAGGTAGATAATTATCTATATGCAATCAACTCAAAAAATATTTGGCAGGAAATTAAATGGGCTAAAATATTGAAGGCGCATTATTACTTGAACGATAATTTGATGGATCTTATAGACGTGTTCCGGAAGACTTGACTGGGTCAAACATTAGTTCTGAACTCAGTAAATTAATGTATGCAATGATCGGGTTGCATAAGAATATAAATTAAATCTCGAATTTCACATGTAATCGTGTAAACGTGTTTTAGTTTATTAGATAAACAACAATGGAATATTCTTTTATTTATAAGATGTTTAGAAAAACCATTTTATGTGCACGAAATGTGTATTTTATCCAAATCTAAACATGTTTGGGGTGTAGTTCACAAAGAGTGTTATAATTTGTAGAAAATAATTAGAAAAGAGTAAAAAAGTTTACAATATATTTAAACAAAATACCAACTAAACTAAAGAGAAATAATTAAATATATTGTATCTGAGAAAATTTATATGAAAATAATAGGTTCTAACTTAAACAAAATAACAAATCAAACTATATTGAAACAGAGAGAATGTGAATGGATGTAGGCATGTAGCTATACTCTAATCATTTCTTTCCGATTAAAGCAAAGTCTTATGCATTTTTCATGCAATTCACGACCGAGGTAGTATGGATTGATCCATACTAGTTAATTGCAGCACTTAACAAACATGAAATAGCACAGAAGTTCACTAAAATTATATAGTGCCAATAAAAATTAAAGCTTCAAATAATAGAGGTAGTATATCTTATATATCAAGAAAATACAAATTTGTTTTCATGATAAATTTGTAGCCTTTATCTAAGAGTATAATTGTCCATTCGCATAGAGAAGTATGGATACGTTTGTAATTTTAATAATTAACACTATTAAGCTTGAGGAAAACCGTTAATGGCGGAAATTTACTTCGATAGCTTCACTAGGAATTTCATGAAATTCAATTATAGAAATTTAAGCTTAGGGGGAACCTTAGGAAAATGTCACCCCTATCCTTTGGAATTGACCTTGCCCTTATTTCTCCATTTTTCCTCAAGGTTTTCATTTGGTTCGGCAACAAAGCCGTTGGAAATGGTGGTTGGCATTTAGGTGTAGGGTGAGTGATCGAGGATGAAGAAGAAGGTGGGAGGTGAAGGAAAGCTTTGAATCCTTCAATGGCAGACCGGTGTGAATTGGGGGAGGAAGATGGAGTTAACGCAGTCCATTTAATTTTAAAGCTTATAAAAAAAAATTAACACTTTAGCACACTTTCCAACTCGATATATTTACTGTAATGCCACTAGATAAATGCCCCATGTTTATCATCAAGATAAATGGGAGCTCCCCAAACTTGCTATAGACAAACATAAAGCCACCAACATCATTAGAAATAAACAGACTTCCACTGTTCCACATTTACAAATATCAATATAAGTTTCACTTTAGGTAACTATTACTAAACTTCTTTTGAAGTACCAAAAAATATGCTAAATAATGAAGGCTTGCGCATTCTCAACTTCTATGCACAATCTATACAAAAAAGCCTTCAGCCGTTTAGATGTCTGAAATATAGTATTCGACAGAAAAACTCTCTTTTGGCCACATCCTCCACAACTTTCTTGGTTATAACAATTACTTCTTTGCATATGTTAAATACGGATCCAGAGCAATACTCAATACATCGGGCCTCTCAGCTTGATTGTAGGTTAAACAACGACGTATCAATTCCTACAGATCAAGAGAAAGAGACAGCGGTTATGCTCATTGTTCAAAACAGAAATATTTTCACAGATCAGTAAATAACACCCCTAATAACTAAAGAAAGTAGGATGAAATTATCTCACGCTAAGATTAATCAAAGCCACTAAAAGTTACCCTTCTATAAGTAAGAAACCACTCCAAAAATAGAAAAAGTCACTCCAGTCTCACAATATGTAGTTAGACTGTTATATCACAACTTTGCCTAATGACCCACCCACAGAAGGGAAGGGAAAATAACAGCCCACACTAACGTAAACATTTTACTGGTAACTTGGAATGTCAGAAATAGACTTGACTGCTTGAGAATAAGACAGAAATAAAAAGATCTATGACAGACATGGAATGGCAGGTTGTTACACACACAACATTTCAAATCCAATGGGATCATTGCTTGAAAAAGATGTGGCCTTACTTTTGCCTCGCTCGAGACACTAGGTCTAGTAGGGAAGTCCACCTTATTTGCTTTAATAATGGTATCCTCCCGTAAAATTCGTTCCTGACTTTGATCATGGCCAAAAGGACGTCTTCCAAAAAGCATTTGGTAAAACAGAACACCGGCTGACCAAACATCTACCTGTTTCAAAGCATTGGAGTCAGAAAATGGCCAGATGAACATTTTCCCAAAAAAAAAAAAAAAAAGGACAATTGAGTATTTAGTGCAGACGACCATAGTAACACCCATAATTTGCACCCAATGAGCAGCAGTTAAAAAGCAAGCCGCAAAAGTCCAATAGTCCATGATACCATATGGATTTGACTAAAGAGATTATATAGCTTAAATCTACAATTGAACACATCAAAGACAGGCATACCTTTGAGGATATGAGTGGTATCTTGTTAAGCTCAAAGCACTCAGGCGGCAGATACCTGAGCAAATAATAAATAAAATAAAATAAAATAAAAGTATAAAAATTTTGCTTCCTGACAAATGAAAGTTACCTTAATTAAAAATTAAAAAATGAAATACTACCCTCTGCATTTAGAGATCAGCACCGATTCCCTAGTTGCATGTATATATGCTACTCATGGGTATCACTGCTTTCAGACCATGAGACCATTGGACTGACCAAATTCTAGCAACAATGTAGACACTCACATACCAGGGAATGGGAATATCATGCACAAGTTAAATACCATTTGAAGAGCCTCAATAAGTTCAAGTTTAGTAAACATAAAACATTTAATAACTTGATTTTTGTAATTTATTTAAGATCAAGAAGAGTTCACAACTATACAAAAGCCAATTTAAAAAATCATTAATGTTGAAAATTATTACAGTTACAGATCATTTTTGTAGGGGATTTTTTTATTTTTTTATTTTTTTTATTTTTTTTTTTTTTTTTTTTTGACAAAGATTTCATAACGAAAGGCATAAATTACTTTTTATAAGAGCTAAACAAACCTACATTACAACCAAAAAATCAAACCACACGCATAATTTTGTAGTTAAAATAATGCAATTGCAATTCATAGATGCTAGATCAGTATAAACTACTGTTAACCTATGTAGCAAACTCACATACAATCAATTTGAAAGCTTAAACATAGCAAAGAAGAAGATTGTCATAACTCCATAAACACGAGAAGAGAAAAGCACTTAGAACCCACATTTCATTACGTCAGTTGTATTATTGTTCAATCTTATTATAGAGAACCCACATCCATGATATTTTAGAAAAAATGTATTATATCCAACATGGCTCACCAATAGGTACCCGCTCCTTGGGAAGTAAGCTCCATGCCCTGCGATCCAACATCATTTTCAACTATTTTACTCAGACCAAAGTCTGTCAATTTGGAAACTCCAAGCTCATCAAAAAGAACATTGCCAGGCTTCAAATCATAATGAATGATCTTTTGTGCTCTCTTGTTCAAGTAAACAAGACCTTGGAATATCTGCACGATGATTATTCTTGCTTCCTTTTCTGGTAATACTGGTGTTATCTTAAGAATAGCATCTAGATCTTTGCCTGAAAAAAGGTGTGTCATTTTTAAAAAGAAAATAAAGATTTAAAGCTTGAATTGAAGAAAAGAATACTTGTACTAATTCAAAGCAGAAGTCACATTAGTTTACCAGAACAAAACTCCAAGACAGTGCAGAATGTATTCTGATCAATCTCAAAGGTATCCCAAAGACGAACAATGTTATTATGTACCAAAGTCTTGTGAATGTTGTACTCCCGAATAGCATGCCTGATGTAGCTTTGCTTCTTTTCTTCACTCCATTGGGCATTCAGACCATGAAGCTTACAAGCCACGTACCGATGATCTACCAAATCAAAAGCCTGCCAGAAATTTCTTACTTCAAATCACTGCAAAAAGTTATATGCTCACATTGCCCATAGAGGCAAAGAATGAAAAACAAAAGAAAGAAATTTCCGTATTTTTCCCTTAGAAGACTATCATGAAATGCAATGCAGGTGACAATTCTGTACTTCTGTTATTATCAAGATACAAACCTTGTAAACCTCACTGAATCCCCCTTTGCCTAAGAGATTCAAAAGGGCATATCGACGATTTAGGATCGGAAAATTGTTGAAACGAGAACCATCCTCATCTCTTATGCGCTTCATCTCACGTATAAGCCTACCCTTATCCAACTCATAACGGTCCCTCTCCCGCAATACCACTTCTTCCTCCTTCAGACAAACATAGAGTAAGCTGCAACTGTAAAATCCAGAAACTTTAAAGATTAAAATGTAGGAGAAGTACCCTCTTGATACTTGCTAGACGAGATTTATAGATTTCATCCTGAATAAAATAGTCTTCCTCTTGGGTACCCGACTCCAAGTCACCTCCGTCACTCTTATCTGTACGAAACATTAGACACCCAAAAGACTGATAAGCAATTAAAAAAAAAAAAAAAAAAACGTGACAGTTATAAATTTTGTTTCATCATTAAACTTTACATTCACAAATTTCGATGTGTAGGAATACTGTCAGAGCAGGAATGTGGGAAGGGAAAAATAAAGCTAAGATAGACCCAGGGGCTTGACCACGTGGAAATTTGACATTAATGCCTAAGTGGTAAGTACACCATATAATTCAACCATGGTTAACAATGAAATAACAAGAATTAACTATTTATACAAAAGCCTGCTGATGAACATTATAGCAACAAATTCTCAAAATGAGTAACTGGAAGACAGGAAGAGTTGTCAGCGGAAGCAGCAATTCTTTTTTATTTTATTTTTTTAAAAAGCACTTCAAACCGATAAAAGCCTCCCATTTAATTTCACGTGAAGTTACAAAAAGTCAACTAATGTTAAGTCTAGGACAACAGGCCTATCAGGCAGATCAATTCATCTGATAGACCAACTGAAGTCTTGCTTGAGTGACAGAAGTTGACATCAAGCGACTAAAGTCACATTATTGATTAACTAGTACATCTAACTGAGTGACAATAGGTCATCCAATTGAGTTCTGATATCAATTAATTGCAGATTTTTAAGTATAAAAAGTTACTGGCCCAGCTATTTATTGCAGTAAATATTTCTTCCACGGACACCTAGACCTAATTGTCACACGTGCCATTTTTAGATAAAATTTTATAAAGAAGGGTAATTACGTATGCAGCCCTCGAGGCTGTATAACCACTTGGCCTGTATATAAGCATCTAACTTCCAGTTTTGCTAGAAGTAAATAATATGTGATTTAACCTAAATATATGTTACTTCTGACTTCTTAATTGCATCCTTAAGGGCTGTATATATTATTTTCCTATACATAAAATTCCACTTTGGACCAATCCAAATTGCCATTTACTAAACAAAAAGAAAAAGAGATTGCATATCATATTGTTTTGACATATATACAAAAGCTTTATTACTCTTAGACTATCATTATGGAACCCATTATTGAGCGGGATAAAGGACTAAAAAATCATTACTCGAATAAAATAAATCTATACCAGATTGCCGTTTTCTCAATAATTTCCGTTGCCTCTCAACTGTTTCCTTTGCCTCCAACAATTGTTTCTAAAAGAAATTCAGCATTAGTATATTGTGAAAAAAAAAAATGGAGCAAACAATATTCCAGCCAAAATGAGGCGCGGCGAAATAAAGGTTGCCAATGGAAGAACTTTCACAGCACTTACAAGGTGAGAAGTGATGTCCTTTAGTGCCTGCCCATCCTCCCATGTCTCAGATATTACAGTTCCTGCCCTGTAAAGATAAAGAACGAACAAAATTACTAATAGTTGAGGACACTGTATACTGCCTTTGAAGTTAAAGGGAAAGTTTTATCAGCCAGCTTTGTTATATGGGTCATAAATTTTAGAAGGATCATATTAAAAAAGATGGAAATAGCAGAGGCACATATGTTGGAATGGAAGTGTGGGAACGAGGGATGAGCATAATAATAAGGCACCTGATATCCGACCCAAAACCAATCAGGAACCGGCGGGTCCAGAGTCCAGACCCGGAATTGGACCCGTGAGAACCAGTTCCAAATCCTTCAAAATCCAAAACTTGGGACTCGGTTTTATCTAGCACCAGTTCCAAATCTTGGAATTTTGGATCCGGTACCCTCTACTCCGCTAGGTACCGGTACTAATGTGAAAAACTAGAAATAATATATTAAAGTTGCATCTACACACAGCCCACATCAAACTATAATTAAACCTACCCCGCCTACAATAATACACACCCGTAAACAACCTCACAATTCATTCATTTTTACTTGAATACCAACTCACAAGTCAGATATAAGCATCTCATTTTCAATATAGGCTTACAGCTTACTATTTTTTTTCTTTGCATTTTCGTCTTTACTCATTTATTTGTATGGAGATTTGTATTTTAGTTTTTACCTTTTTCGTTTAGATCCAGACCGGGCTCTCGAAAGCTCATGTGACCGGAGGTGAGAAGATATGGGATTGAAAAGCGCATGTTAATAATCACCACGTGGCCCTTATGCCCCGAGTGCTCAGCTTCGCTCCAGAAGTGGAACTAACTGGAAGGTCAGTATGGGAAGTCTCTTCGGCTACCTTTCTTCTTGATAAGCCATAATGTTTTATTTAGTTTATCATTTCTTTTAAACTAAGGGAGCTAACACGCGCGATGCGCGCACATAGCTAGTCTTATCTAGAAGCTTTTTTGGCTTGGTCTAATCACAAATTTAGTTGTTGGCAGAATTAATGACAAAAAATATGTAAACAACTATGTTTATGGGTATGAATGTCCAAGACAACTAAAATTAATGCATGAGAGCAAATAAGTACATAATTAAATATTTTAGAGGGTATAATTGTCCAAACACTATTCATTAAAAAACTTGTACATATTAATGAGGGTATATATGTAAATACACATTTTAAACGGTATAATTGGCATTACACTATTCATAAGAGTAATCTTGTATTTTTTATAAGGTAGGGAAATAAGTTAATTATTTGCAGATCTACTACCCTATAAGAGTGCTAATCTTGAGCTGATTTGAACTTTGGAGAATTAAGGGTATTCTTTTTTAGTATTCATCCATGGTGGTGGTGTGCTTTGTGTCGTTTAGAAGGGAGTGTGGAAAGAGGATGATATGACAGGTTTTCAGTGGGAGGGTGAGAGAGGTGGTGTGATGAAAATCGGTGGTGGAGCAGGTGTTTATTTAATAACTTTATCAATGAAATTGAACTGGGTACCAGTTTACCCGAACCGGTTCCGATTCCCAAAAACCGGTTTTGACCAATTCATGGTGCTTGATTCTGCTCACCCCTGGTGGGAACACATCAAAAAACAGAATTTGAAATGAAGATAACAGGAGGAATGTTGAGCAGCATACATAGAGGATAAGTAAAGGAAAACCGATTGTTAGTTTGGGCAGACAATCAGAAGATCAGAAGGCGCACCAGTAAAGTAAGTAGAGGGCTAGGATCAAGGGGATTTCAAAAGCGGCAGAGGAAGACCAAAGGTAACTTGGAAGGAGGGAGTTAAGAAGGAAATGAAAAACTTGGGTTAGCAAAAGCATACAACATTGGCTAGAAAGGAATGGAAGGAGAGAATCATGATTGACAAGTATAGAAGATAATATCTTGGTTCAGTTAACCAACCCTATCTTTGGAATTAACGCTCGGATTGGTGTTCTATGATGCTGTATGCAAGCATCCCTATAACCAACACAGAGCTAGGCCGCTAGCATCATCCACACAAGAATAGAACAAGTTCAAGCATGTATAAGATATTCAATGGATAAAATTTTCCATATCCTATTCCAGCAAGACGTCTATGCACTGCCATTAATTTAGTCAAAGTACATTTTCCCATAACAAACTGTCAGAGCCGATCTCTTCCTTAATCTAATGCATGAGTGTGATTAAATCCCAGACAAAGTCTATAATGCATCAGGAATTTACTGTACAGTCTAGTTCTTCCAGGGATTCATCCACTGCGAGCAATCTTAATGGTGCAAATATCACTCCTCTTACTTTATGGGAAGAGGTTAGGACTTAGGACCAGAAGACATCAGTAATTACAAAATTTTACTATTGCATAAGGTCAATCAATATTCTTGAACTTTATAGAGCATTTGGAGTCCCTTATCATTACATACAAGTCAAGCAGTGAAAAAAATAATAAATGCCAGCAGGCCATAAAAAACAAAGCATACCCACTATAGTTCCATCCCTAAAAGGCCTAAATTATAAAGGCTTTGACAGGTTATACCTTTTCAATAGGAGATCATGTCAACAAATGCATGTACTTAATGCTCTACAGAACCATAATTAATAAAACCTCAGCTATGGACTCCAACACATTGAATGGAAGGAGCGAAGGACTAGTTTTCAAGGAAATCTATTAAGTAGATCAAACACCTAAAGGAGGAATCAGACACTATTCTTTTAATAACAATATCATTTGCCCTGATCCCAACATGTTAATGGACGAGAGAACATCTCAGTGATAGAGATCTGATTACATGTATCCTAGGCAACTTAACAAGCCAGTTACCCACCAGAATTCATGAACATGATTCAATTTTCATTCTCCAGAACTACATTCAACACTGAACAAATTGCCCTTTAAGAACACAATCATCTTAAACAACAATTGATCAAAAGTGCACACTCATCTACTGATCACTATTCTTCTTGGCACACAGGAGAGGAAATGACATAAGAAAATCTCTTGAAGGTAATTACATACCTTATCACTCCGACATTGCCGAGTCTCAATGAATCTTGGCGCACTTTCATCCTTGCTTCTTCTCTCTCAGCTTTTGAAACAGATATAAGCAAATCTGATATGATTTTTGTCCGCTGCATGAGTAAGCTCATAATACAAACAAGTAAAGCGACATATTTTAGTTACTCTCAAGTCTTAACTATGTCACAAGAACAAACAGCAAGAAAGCACAATTTAGGCACCAAGGAATGAAGCGTAGGAAGAACAAACCTTTGGCTTCATTATTTCTTCACAGTCTTTGTGCTCTTTGAGCTCCTGATAAATAATGAAAATAAAGCATAAGTTCCTCGCACATAGAAGCAATTTTTTTTAAACTAACATCCATAAACACTATGATTCACCTTTCCTAATTGATGGCATTGATTCTGGTAATTAGAAACCTCTTCGCGTGATTTGCGCAGCTCCTCTTCCAAAGAGGCAACCTTACTTTGCAAGCAAGCTAGATCATCCTATATTTAAAGAACAAAGAATACAAATGAGATACTTCAATGTAAACATCATACCCACAACGCCACAAGGCCACAAGAAATATTATCTTCTCCATAAGGGTTGCCCATGGAAATATGCAGCTCTAATAGTCACATGTTTCTTTCTTCATTTAGTCTCCTATAGGCTATGATGTCTCTGTTTACCTAATTCCTACTCCATTAACTCCCCACCCCCCAATTTTGTTTGCAAGAAATGAGTGCAACGAAGTGGAAGCTGGAAGAGTATAACTAGTTGTCTTCTAGACACAAGTGACCATAAAAACATACCTTGGACTGAGGGTGGTTGCCATTTGCAAAAAACTCTTGACTTCTCATATCCTGCAAATTGACTCAAATTTAGTAGTGAAAAGTGATATAATCCAACACTAAGGTTCAAACATTGAATAAATTAATTAAACCTGATATTAGTAGAATGTTCAAACATTGAAATACTTAATTAAACCATTAGCAGAATGTTCAAACATTGGATTACTTAGTGAAACCTGATATTAGTAGAATGAAGCTATGTGTATGAAGAAGATGATTGTAAGTAGAAGATGTGCCAAACCTTATAATTTGAATTATCCATCTGGCCATTTGCAGATGACACAGCTGATGGTGATGTCTGGGTTTTAGGATGATCATTTGATCTAGAACCACGGCCACGGCCAGTCGGTCCTTGAGGTCTACCGCGACCTTGTTTTTTCTTGTTAGTATCAGCACCAGATTTGTGGGGCATATCTTCCACAGCCTTTGGCTTTCCATTACTGTCAACCTTACACATTCATCAAAGATCTGGTTACACTAAAATACTTCCTTTGTTTTGTTTTAGTTGCAACATTTTCACTTTTCACATTTGCCAATATAATACTTTAATTGTTAACATTTCTAGTTATGCATTTGTAAAAATAAGATTTTAGTAAAGTATGAATTGCAACAAATCTAACAAGATTCTACAAATATAAATCATGAAATGTGATTAAATTGGAGTATGTGAATAGAACACAATATAGAAGCATTAAATTACATTAGTAATTAGTAATCCCATGACAAGCAATTAATCAACCTAGGTTACAGATTGGTAACAAACAGAAATTTATCATGTTTCAAGAAAAGGTCAATCTAGCACTAAGGCCTAAACATATATACCTTATCTACAGTCAAGAGCCAAACTTGATGCAAAACCTGAAAGTTCATGGCCAAGGAGAAATGAAGATCATAACTTGGCAGAGTATAACCTATAGTGGCATCAACCAAGACTTGGAATTAAAGATTTGGGCTGCATGCAGTTTAAATGTTCTATGATGCAAACTTTTAGAATTTATTTAGTTTTCAAACCAGCTATACAGGGCCCCCAAGCTTTATCACAGACTGATTTGGCCCTACCCCTTTTTAAATCAAGGTGGAAAAGTTCCCAAAATTTTTAACAAATAAATAGCAATCTTTCATCTACATGTCTACTTAATTAACCTAGTTTGTTTCAAGTTTGAAATGCCCACATATAAAAAACAAAAACTATACGTATTACAGGTCTCCTCTTTATCAAATCATTTTTTTTTTTAATCTTTTATACAAGACTTCTTAATCAAATCTAAGTACAGTGTAGGAAAAGAACTACCTCGGCATGATCCAAAATAGATTTATTGTCCTCCTGAAGTTTTTGGCGCTTCCGAATGTTTGCCTGTATGAGAAATTCTCCACCACTCTGTAACATAAGAAGGCAAGAATATCCTCCATGAGAAGAGCATAATTTAAATATGTAAGGCAATAAGGCATCGTTTGATGAAAAATAAGTAAGTTAAGCGTTCAAGATTCATGCAACATGCCAACAAGTATCATAACTCAAACAACCCCTACGCAGTCCCATTCCTACAATCACCACCACCCCCCCCCCCTCAAAAAAAAAAAAGGAAACAGGTAATAACTTTGGATACAAAAAACTATTGTAGACTTGTAGATCACGTCTTTGACCTAGTTTAGCATCATATTATCCTCACAATTAAAATTATCATAGAGGTGCTCTATCCATCTTTTTCAAGATTAAGAACACAAAACAGCCTTCTATTTCCATCGTTTTTACATTATTCTCTTAAAACACAAAACAGCCTTCTATTTCCATCTTTTTTTATATAAAAGTATCCAACATAAAACATTAGATAAATTAAAGATTGCAGTAAGAAAGCTTACATCTACCAATACCATGGGAAAGCTTTCCTACCGTTTGTTTAACTCATTTTCTATATCGGGGTGTTGCATTAGAGTATGAACCACTTTTATTGTATTCCAATTTGGCAACTGCATATTATCTTACCTCTCAAAATTTACACATTTCCACTTACTGACTCTTTCTTTGATTATATTCACCTACCTTTTTACTCAAATCTCTTATACTTTATATACGATTTTCTTACATCTGTTCACTTTTACCAAAAATTCCTGGGAGCAAATATCAAGGGTCAAAATTTTAGATATATAGGAACTACAAGTAATTTTTATTAAAGGAAGTTTCGGAGTAGTTAGTAAGATGTTGCCAAGGTAACTTCCAGAAGAAAGTTCAGGATCAAGACCAAACATAAGGGAATTGGTTGAGTACTTGAATAGCACAATATGATCACACGAATTCATAACGTTATAGGAATAATCCTATTGTTTTCCCACTAAACAAGCTAACATCCATCAAATTTACAAAGAACCCTCGAAGTATATGACAATTGGTTGGTTGGTTACTTAAATAGTTCTCGAATAAGCAGAAAGTTTCTGAACATCAACAACACCTCAATAATGCACTTGGCGCATATATATTTCCAGATACTTGTAACTCTTCTACTGGCATGCCCTACAAAACTCATTTCGACAAAACATTTTGACCAACATACATCCCAATTGTATGTACTATGGTTATTTTATACAAACCTTAGTTCTTTATTTTAAAACTCTTTCTCTGATTGGTTAAGCAACAAAGAATACTCCTCATACTTTCAAACTTTCATATTCATATTCATTCAATATAATTACAGATTACTACTAGCAAGAATTGCAACTATCATCAATCCTGCTTATTCCTGTTTCTACATGACAGCACTACCTAAAGTACCTATCCTAACCATAACTCAAAGAACATTTCGTATTTGAGTAAATCACAATTGCATCAAATTAAACTGGCATAAATTCAACTTCGAAACATATATTCATATACAAAACTTTAATATTTCAATCCGATATAATCAACAAAATAACCAGCCAACAATATACACTTACATCTTCATCGGAGTCACTAGAAGTCGATGCCTCAGGTACATTATCAACAGCATCGAACTTCGACGAACCAGCAGAAGGCCAAACAGTTTGGGCAGGTAAGGGCATTGAGCTGGGTCCCGAACCCGAAATCGATCCCTTGCCCACTAAACGAGCTTCAAGCTTAGCAATCTTAGTGGGCAGGGATTGATCAGACTGATTAGATGAGTTTGAAGAGAAATGGATCAACATATCATCTGACATTTTCGATCCAAACAACTCAGAAAGCACCAAGTAAAGTACCAAACAAATTCGACAAAGAATAATGACTAGTAATAATTCAAAGGAGAGAGAAAAACCCTAAAAAAGAGGGTTAACTTCTGCTTATCCTGAGCATAATAAGCAGAAGGAAATTATCCCCAAATAAAATTGGAATTGCAATAGAATCTCAGCATTTATTGAAACCCTAACTCCAGCAATTTGGGGAAATTGTGAAATTGCGAGAAAGCTTAAGCTAGGAGAAACAGTGAGGAATTTCACACAGAGTAAAGTATATTATGTAGAAATCAATGAAGAATAAATCGTAATTAGAGAGTGTAGTGAAAGGAAGAAGAAATTGAGCAAATTAGGGTATAATTATAAGAGAAAATTAGGGTTCTAGATGAATTGAAGAAGGGGAGAATCGGAAGAATTTGGGGAAACAAATGAAATGAGGAATTGAGATGCGCTGTGTTTTGGTATTGGAGGGAAAACTGAGAATTTTTTTTTATTTTCCCTTTTTTTTTATTTTTTATTTTTTTTTTGTTGCGGAAATTGGACTATTGGAGAAAATTTAGGTCTTAAGTCAAATTAAAGGAGGCATGAAATTTTGTAGACGTACACTGGTACACGTACAAGCTTCAAATTTTTCTCTTTTTTTTAAAAAAAAATGAAAATTTGTCAATTAATTACAACAATTAAAAAAAAAATATAAATTGCAATCCAAGAGTAATACTAACGTTCTTTTTTTTTTTTTTTTAAAGGTACTACTAATAACTTGTTAATTGTCATCCGATCGATCATTGGTAGAAAATTGCTATTTTACTTTGTATATTCTTAAGCGAGACAATTATTAACATGGTTTTTCTAGCCTACTTTGATAATTATGCCCTATGTTACTCGGACTCTTCATTTCATCTCACGTACCCGTGTCGGACTCTTGACACACGGACATGGGTATGACACCCGGACACTTCACTTTTAGTTCAAAATCATGATATTTTTTCACAAAATAGCCGAGTCGAACGCTTGGACACGTACTTGTGTCAGACATGGGTACTAGAGTCCAAGTAACATAGATTATGCCATATTTGGTTCCAAATGTGTCAATTGGATTATGAAATTTGATTGTTTGATACTTTGATTAATACCTTGTAATTCATGTCAAACTACTTTTTGGCTTAATATTCAATAACACATATGGACCTAGATAACAAAACTGGTAAATACCAGTGACACCCCTACTCAAGGTGTACTCTGTCAGCGTAAATAACTAAATACCAGCAATCCCTGGTATGTTTTTGGGTGATTGTGATTGTTGTGAAATCTATTGCACTATTAAGGCCACTAATGGATTAGGTCATGTGTTTGATCTTTACAACCGCAAACGCGACAACCCTGAGTTTATTCAACTGAATAGGGCTGGCTAGCTACACTCGTTATTTGTCACTAACTGGATTTAAAGATGGTCGTTGTGGAGAACAAACTTGATGAACTGGTTAAAAGGCAGCAAGTAATGATTTTTTTTTTTTTTTTTTTTTTGTTCTCCGTTTTTTTATTGGTATACTGTTTTATTGTCTTATCTTACATTTGATGTTTTATGTTTATCTCTGCCGTTTCCTGCTCATCCACAACCTCCAACATTGTTGAATGATGATTGGTAGGTTGCTCTCTCTTAGTTGACGCCACTAGTAGATTAGTCAGGGAAAATACAAGTTGATCTTCGTGATAAACCACAATTGTATGTAAATATACTAACAACATTGAAGTAACGGGTTATATCCCCTAGATAAACATACGTTTACCAAAAAAAGAACAATGGGGCTCCCTCATGACAAAATGAAACATACATTGACAAATACGTACAATCAAAAATGAGAAAAAAAAAAAATAGGAATGGAGGGTGTAGATGACAACAATCGTATTACAATTTATCAATAAAAAGATTAATAGAGATGATTATTATTTTGACCAGAAAGTGGCCTCTAATTATAAAAGCAGATTTAATAGTTGATTATCAAATCACTTGTTTCATTATTTGAGTGCCAAAATTTCTTGTTTGTGTGCCAAGTAATGCTCTAATTTTGTTATACATGGAGTACTTGTGATTTGATCTTTAGATTGTTTCCAAAAAAAAAGTTGATTTATAAATTATTATAATTTCTTAACTATAATTATATCTTAGGGCCTGTTCTTGTTGACTGAACTCAGCTGAACTGAACTGAACTGAACTGAACTCGGCTGAACTGAACTGAAATGAATTGAACTGAAATGAATATTTTATAAGAGAAGGAAATTAGGAGCTGAACTGAACTAAATTCAACTGAGCTGAGCTGAACTGAATTTCAACGTAAGAGAACAGGCCTTTAATGGCTTAACTTGCTTTCCTATTAAGTAGTACTCTAGTTTTTTAATACCTAACAAGACCCGATCCATGTCTGATTAAACCTGACTCATATTTTAGGTTTCGAGTCCTAAAATTTTATACCCTATGGATTTGGGTTGGATATGGGTCTAAGTGCTCTTACAAAACCTACCTCTAAACTACTGTCGCCACTCCTCTCATTAAGTCAATGGTGGAATGTTTTTTTTTTTTAAAAAAAAAATTATCTTATTTATTTATGAAGTTTATTTTGACTAGGGCAGCCCCTTTTGGCTTAATTTTTCTTGGCTTTTGTTTGCACTTGACAATGAGTTAATGGACTAATAGAGGAATATCTCTCTATTGCTTAGCCTTAATTTTTCTTGGCTTGTGTTTGCACTTCACATGGAGTTAATCGTCCACTGCCGAAGGCTCTTGTCTTTAATGTTGTATAATATTCTCGGAAATGTGATACAACATGATGCACCCTTATTTAAGTAGTGAAAAAACACAATGTGCTACTTTATATAGGAATTTATGATATTAATACATCTTTTGCGCTCATTGGCCTAATTGGAAACAAAAAGGTACATAATATAATAGTACATGGTACATCAGAATACATATATAGTAGTGGCATTAATACATAATAGTATTCAAATACACATGATTTCATAATGTTCAAAAGTTAACAGATAATTAGAAAATGAACTCGGACAAAATGCTTCTAACAATTTCATTGAAGTATTATCTCTCCGACTCCCTCATTTACTTGAAATTAGAATTTTCACATTGGGTTATTCAGCCGAATCTTCGTAAAATTTTAGAGTTGTCAGATTAGATTTTTGAGCCACATCATGAATTCGAATAAGGTTTGATTTAAGTCACACTTGATATGGACTCAAGTTGATTTCCTAGAAATCTAAACAAAGTAGTCAGTAGAACCAAATCGCCCATTGGACTTTTTATTCCAACATTTGAGGGTTCCACCCCAATTTCATCGTGTTTTGGTCCATAAGAAAATATGCAAGGAAGAAACTCAAAGGTGGACCAACACCTGTTTTGGATTAAAATGTCCAAAGCCCTATATGACCTAATGATCCATTATCCCTCCTTAACAAGGCAGCAAACTATCCCAGTACAGTGGATAATGTATTTAATCACATTTACAAATACTTGTTTTTCCTGAGAATGACTAAAGGAATTAGACAACATAAAACATGCTCAACTTGTACAAAAGTTGTCCAATCCTTGAAAATTGGCCTCCTACAGCCCCGCTAAAACATGCCCCTTGCACCCCTTGCGCAGAGGCAGCTGCTGTTTGAGCTCATGATGCGTTCTTAGTTGGATGTATGTGTTAAAGGCCATGGTCTCCTACATGATTCAAGAGATTAAGTTGTCTCCAATCTGCATACAATTGACAAGACACATTGGCCGTGGAGTCTATGCATTCAGTTCTATTGACTTGTCATGAAGAACTTCTTCAAGAAGTTGGTTGATACTACTTCCTTTAACCTATCACAAGAATTATAGTAAGTTTGTACTCCGTAAATCATAAACAAAAGAATTATATATGCTTACAACAAGCAATGCACTTCATATGCAAATCATAGATTTGATCGCCCCCATATATTTTATATTACTCCCAAATCATACACCCTTTTGTTATCACTTGGATTCTAAAATCACCATGATATGCATTTCAAGCATTCGATGCTAATGGATCTTGCAAAGCTCAATAAATGACTATGTAACAAGCAAAATGTCAGGAAATGAGGAAAGTCAAGTTTTGATCTCTTGGACTAATACCTTAACTCCAAGAACAACAGCTGTTTTCACCTTGACAACTTCACCCAGTCTCAGAGAACCTTCTTTATTATCTTTAACATGGATAATTGGTATGTCTCTGGAAGAGGCCAAGCTTGGCAGATGCTTAGTGAGCCATCTCGAGTTGCAGTCTGATGCTACCAGCACAGCCTGATAACACAAATTAAGGAAGAGGTAAACATGAATGGACACGCTTTCTTGAATATGATATTTATTTACCAAATCCATGCAGTAGGCAAGATGATGACAATGAAGGTTGCCCTTAAACTAACTGCTAAACATGACCAGATCATGTTAAGTATGTGGAATGTAAGGCGCACCAAGCTGTAGCGTACACATTGTACAAAACAATAAAACAGGTTCTATTTTCTAGAACCAGTTTCTCCAGAAAATTATAGAACACGATTAAGGAAGTGACAGTAGTAAAGGTAATATTATTACCCAGTACTGAAAATAAAAAATGCCAAGTTCATCTGTTAAGCATTAAAAAAGATATAGGCACAGAAAAATCTGTTTAATGCATGATCTCCTTTTCCCACATTACCATATAAAGAAGTCATCTAGACAAACATAAGTCTCTTACAAAGCATTCAGTTAACCAAACTTTCCTGCCCTAGCATCCCAAATTGCATAGAATCCTAGGCATGGATACACCGATACACAAACCTTGAAGCAAAAACGTTTTACTTCTTTGCAGGTTGTATAATGTAACATGTAAGGGCATCTACTAAATTACATGGAGTTTATGAGGAACAATCATGTTCATGTCAAATTGTCAAGTCTAATAATTGCCTTTCATGACCCTTCAAGTCTAGCGTTAATTCATTCACATATCATATTCACTAGGTAACATCGTAACAACGGTTTCATAAACATAATATGATGCAGCTCAGGAAAAAAACAAACCTGAAGTTTAGTGAAAGAGGAACATGGAGGACGGCCCCCAGATCCTTTTTGAGCAGCAGCGAAGGCAGCATCATCGCTAGATGGAGCCATTCGTTCAAGCAGTCGCGTCACTTCATTGATCCCAACAGCAAAGTTTTGCTGCAATAGTCCACATCAAATACCACTAAAATTATTAGCTATCCCATATTTATAAACTTAGGCAGTACAATATTCCTTACACGATATTCAATTTTGTCTTAAATAAGTAAAAATCACACCTTGAACCACAACTTCTCAGGTAAGATTTTATTGGACTGTAATTCTGATTCGATTTCCCTGTTTCCATAATTACAATTAACATCATATCAGTCATAAACTTTTAATTCAACTTAAAGTGTGCTAATATCACCCATACAATTAAAAAATACCCTAATTACGATTTTCGTATATATTCAATTAGGGTTCTTGAAAATGCAAAAATTACCTTTGGAGGGAATTGAGAAGACGGAAAAGACGGTCGCCTTCAATGCAGCATTCACTGTAAAATTAATAAACACAGTTATTGAAATGAAGATTTGAAAATTTTGATAGTATTTAGTAATGAAAATTGACAATTTAAGATTAGGAAAAGAGAAAGAAATGAAATTACTTATTGGGTTTTTGTTGGTTTTGCACTTTGATGGCGTGTGTTGAAGATTAGAGGTTTTTCTTTTAGTTTTTTACGACTTTTTTTTTTAATTGTTGCTACACTTGTATTTTCCTCAGTTTTTCTCCCTTCTCGTCGGCCACCGGTTAAATTAGAAACCTTGTTGATGCTCTCTAACCTCTAATGACTTGAGTAATCAGTGAGTTTTACGAGTTGAAGAAAAATTAAGAATTAAATGAGTCATACGGGTGGATTAATTAAGCTTCCTATCTTCCGATTCTTCCCTAATGCAATTGCATGGTTTTAAAAATTGAATTATATCTACTGTTCCCTTTTTAATTTTTACAATTAGAATATTTTTATGAGAGAAAATTGAATTAGGATGATATGATAGGTTTTCAGTGGGAGGGTGAGAGAGGTGGTGTGATGAAAATCGGTGGTGGAGCAGGTGTTTTTTAATAACTTGGTCAATGAAATTGAACTGGGTACCAGTTTGCCCTGGTTCCAATTCCCAAAAACCGGTTTTGACCAATTCATGGCTGCTTGATTCTGCTCACCCCTAGTGGGAGCACATCAAAAAACATAATATAAAATGAAGATAACAAAAGGAATGTTGAGTAGCATACATTGAGGATAAGTAAAGGAAAAACGATTGTTAGTTTGGGCAGACAATTAGAAGGCGCACCAGTAAAGTAAGTAGAGGGCTGGGATCAAGGGGATTTCAAAAGCGGCAGAGAAAGACCAAAGGTAACTTGGATGGAAGGAGTTAAGAAGGAAATGAAAAACTTGGGTTAGCAAAAGCATACAACATTGGCTAGAAAGGAATGGAAGGAGAGAATCATGGTTGACAAGTATAGAAGATAAAATCTTGGTTCATGGTTGAGGTAACCAACCCTATCTTTGGAATTAACGCTTGGATTGGTGTTCTATGATGTTGTATGCAAGCATCCCTACAACCAACACAGAGCTAGGCAGCTAGCATCATCCGCACAAGAATAGAACAAGTTCAAGCATGTATAAGATATTCAATAAATAAAATTTTCCATATCCTATTCCAGCAAGACGTCTATGCACTGCCATTAATTTAGTCAAAGTACATTTTCCCATAATGAATGCCAGCAGGCCATAAAAACACAGCATACACTCTATAGTTCCATCCCCAAAAGGCCTAATTATAAAGGCTTTGACAGGTTATACCTTTTCAATAGGAGATCATGTCAACAAATGCATGTACTTAATGCTCTACAGAACCATAATTAATAAAACCTCAGCTATGGACCTCCAACACATCGAATGGAAGGAGCGAAGGACTAGTTTTCAAGGAAATCTATTAAGTAGATCAAACACCTAAAGGAGGAATCAGACAATATTCTTTTAATAACAATATCATTTGCCCTGATCCCAACATGTTTTTGGACGAGAGAACATCTCAGTGATAGAGATCTCATTACATATCTCCAAGGCAACTTAACAAGCTAGATACCCACCAGAATTCATGAACATGATTCAATTTTCATTCTCAAGAACTACATTCAACACTGAACAAATTGCCCTTTAAGAACACAATCATCTTAAACACCAATTGATCAAAAGTGCACACTCATCTACTGATCACTATTCTTCTTGGCACACAGGAGAGGAAATGACATAAGAAAATCTCTTGAAAGTAATTACATACCTTATCACTCCGACATTGCCGAGTCTCAATGAATCTTGGCGCACTTTCATCCTTGCTTCTTCTCTCTCAGCTTTTGAAAAAGATATAAGCAAATCTGATATGATTTTTGTCCGCTGCATGAGTAAGCTCATAATATCAAACAAGTAAAGCGACATATTTTAGTTACTCTCAAGTCTTAACTATGTCACAAGAACAAACAGCAAGAAAGCACAATGCTTCATGTTCACAAACTAGCTTCTCTCTCCACTGACTAATAGGATGAAAGAAAACAATTAATTACAAATAACAGAGCCTTATATTAGGACCAAGGAATGAAGCGTAGGAAGAAATAATGAAAATAATGACTATATTCCATATTAAACTAAACTAAATTAAACTAACATCCATATTCCATAAACACTATGATTGTAAGTAGAAGATGATTGTAAGTAGAAGATGTGCCAAACCTGATCAGAAAGCACCAAGTATAGTATCAAACAAAATTCGTCAAAGAATAATGACTAGTAATAATTCAATGGAGAGAGAAAAACCCTAAAAAAGAGGGTTAACTTCTGCTTATCCTGAGCATAATAAGCAGAAGGAAATTATCCCCAAATAAAATTGGAATTGCAATAAAATCTCAGCATTTATTGAAACCCTAACTCCAGCAATTTGGGGAAATTGTGAAATTGCGAGAAACAGTGAGGAATTTCACACAGAGTAAAGTATATTATGTAGAAATCAATGAAGAAGAATCGTAATAAAAGAGTATAGTGAAAGGAAGAAGAAATTGAACAAATTAGGGTATAATTATTCGAGAAAATTAGGGTTCTAGATGAATTGAAGAAGGTGAGAATCGGAAGAATTTGGGGAAACAAAAATGAAATGAGGAATAGAGATGCGCTGTTTTTTGGTATTGGAGGGAAAACTGAGATTTTTTTTTTATTTTCCCTTTATTATTATTATTATTAATTTTTTTTTTTTTGTTGCGGAAATTGGACTATTGGAGAAAATTTAGGTTTTAAGTCAAACTAAAGGCAAATTTGTTTAAAAAAAAAAAAATTGATTTTAATAATCCAACCTTTCACTAGTCTTTTTCTATTAATCTTACCTTCTAATTATACATAAATAATCCCACCTCTACACCCCATTCTATTTCATTAGGCCAAAGTGACCGATAACCTATTCTTTAGGTAATTTTTTTTTTCTTTTACAACTTTTAACAAAGATAATGGATTAAAAAAATAAAAAGCATCCCCTACCACCCCCTTCTCCGGCCACCCTCGACCGTCCCTCCCCCTGCCACCCTTACTCATCCAGTTTACAACCACTCCCTCTTCTTCCCGCGCCCTTCCCCTTCTATGGTAGAATCGCACTTCCCCTCCTATTTTGGTTTAATTTATTTCGAGAGGGGGTGGGGGGTTTCTTGGTTAGGGATCGGGCTGGGGGTTTCTTTGGGTTATGGGTTGGGGTTTTTGGGTTGGGAATTCAAGAAGAGGGAAGGTGGTTGGAGAAATGGAGAGGGATAAGAAGGGGGAGGAGTGGTCAAAAATTCGATCTAAAGGTGGAAGAAAAATGTTGGGGACGGGGGAGGGGAAGAGGGAGGATGACGGGCAGTCGGGAAGGGAGGGGGACTGCCGGGAAAGGGTGGTAAGGGGAGGGGGCCTGCTGGAAAAAGGGAGGGAATAGCTGCTAGGATAAGGGAGGGAAGGGGGAGGTGGTGGTGGAGGGGAAGAGAGCAGCCATTGATGAAGGTGAAGGAAAAGGATGGAGATGGAAGGAAAGGGGAAAACTAAAAAAAAATAAAAAATAATTATTGATTGAAAATAATTTGAAAAATAAAAATTAAATCCTAATATTTGGACGAATCATAGTATGACACATGGCAAGGTAACTTGCTATTGGAGGTAGGTGACCGGTTTGGCCTAATGAAATAGAATGGGGTGTAAAGGTGGGATTAATCATATATAATCAAAAGTGGGATTAATATAATAAGATCGATGAAAGGTTGGATTATTAAAATCAAATTTTCCTAAAAAAAAAAACCTTTTAAATGCCTCATTTTGCTAGAAAAAACCTTTTAAACGATTCTTCGTTAAAAAAAAACAACCACGATAATTTTTTTGTCTAAAGAAACCTCACACCTCGTTTCCGGCATTGACTACAACTTTCTGGCGTTGACCTCTTAATTTTCCTATTTGCACCCTACTGTTTGGTGATATATACATATATATACTAGGTTAGATCCCGTGTCATGCACGGTGATCAATAATTATATTTATACTTATAGATTATTGGTTAATAAGTATTATTATAAATTAGTCGATGAATAACAAATTATGTGATAGGTTGATTTGATATTTGCATTTTTTAATTGAAACATCTAATATACCACTAAAAAAAGTAGACAAAATAAAAATCTTTTTCTTATTTTAAAATAGGTCACAAATTATTTTAAGAGTATAATTTTTTGTTTATAATTGCCTAAATTTTTTTTAGAAAGAGTTGTGAAATCTTTTTATTTTAAATGATTTATTTCCTTAATTAATTAATTTTTTTAATTTTTTTTTAAAAAAAATAGTTAAGGACACACCAGGAGATGACATGTGTCATCGCTGGTGTGTCTTTTAGTATATAGTATTGATTGCACCCTACTGTTTGGTGATATATATATATATATATATATATATATATATATATATATATATATATATATATATATATATATATATATATATATATATATATATATATATATATATATATATATATATATATATATATATATATACTAGGTTAGATCCCGTGCCATGCACGGTGATCAATAGTTATATTTATACTTATAGATTATTGGTTAATAAGTATTATTATAAATTAGTCGATGAATAGCAAATTATGTGATAGGTTGATTTGATATTTGCATTTTTTAATTGAAACATCTAATATACCACTAAAAAAAGTAGACAAAAAAAAAAAAAAAACTTTTTCTTATTTTAAAATAGGTCACAAATTATTTTAAGAGTATAATTTTTTGTTTATAATTGCCTAAATTTTTTTTAGAAAGAGTTGTGAAATCTTTTTATTTTAAATGATTTGTTTCCTTAATTAATTAATTTTTTTAATTTTTTTTTTTAAAAAAATAGTTAAGGACACACCAGGAGATGACATGTGCCATCGCTGGTGTGTCTTTTAGTATATAGTATTGATTGATACACCGGTTAAAAAGCCACCAAACGTTTGGTGAACTCCCAAACGTTTGATACAATAACGTTTAGAATAACTATACCGGTTAAACGTTTGGTGGGTTTTTGGAAGTTCACCAAAAGGGTTATAGTTTATCGTAAAACAATAACTTAGAAATTGGTTTGGAATGCATTAGGTAAATAATGATGAAGATTTTGACATAATCAAACCAAATTTTGAGTTGAGATACAAAGTAATAATTCAGTTGGTGCCAAGAATTATTAGCTTATTAAAGGAGCCAGAATAACAAATTTTAATGAGCTTGGAGTTTCATTGAAGAACATTGTATCAACCTGACGTTGTTAATGCTACTGATTTGTAACTACTCGATATTACCGATGAATTATAAACACATTATATAACCGTTGTCATTCAAAAAGGTAGATTCTATTATAGTAAATAACTAGGTTAGAACCCGTGCAATGCACGGCTTATATAAAACCTATTTTTAATTTGTACTATATTTTGTAATTTAAAATTTTGATATTTTCATCAAAATTATGATATAATATCTGTTCAACGTTATCTAATTCATAGTTCAATGTAGGAGGTCATTTATTAGTGTTCTATTTAAAATTGTTTCAATTTCCTAAGATGAATTGATATGTTTTAGTTGTAATGTAGAAGATTCTAATATATAAATTTCAAAAATGTTAAATATATAACTCTTCAAAAAAAAAAAAAAAAAAAAGAGAGATGACATCATCATTGCATTCAGGCGGGAAAATTTTCATTGAGAGAGGGACACGTGGGCCACAGTGACGTCAGCAACTTCTGTTTTAGTAATACTTAATAGACTAGATGAAAGCCAAGGTCGGTTGTGGACTATTCTTTTTTTTAAAATGTTTATCTTTAAAGTGTTTTATATTAATCACACGGTGAGACGTGTCTATTTAAAAAAAAAAAAAAAACCTCTTGAAGAGCAATTCTAATGTAAGCTAATTAGCAAATCAGTTTGTTATTCCACATAAAATTTAAGCTAATTTCTTTTGTATCTAATTTGTGCTTCAATGGTTAGACTCAGGTTTGTGATTTAATTGAGCCTTAATTTGTTATTCAACCTATCTTTTTGGCAAGCTTATTTAATTTTTTAGATTTTTTTTTGATCCAATAATTTTTTTAGATTTAATTTAATGGTCAAGCTAATATCTATAATATTTTCTAAATTGCAAGCAAGTCTCTAGTTACAACCATTGGAGTTGCTCTAACAGGTTAACGATTACTTGGGAGTTAGGACTATTAAAAGTAAATACCCAAAAAATTTTGAATTATTAAATAATAATCCAAATTTAGATATTAAAAGCAAATGCTTCAAAATTGAGATTATTAAATCTATTTTTTTCTAATTTAAATGTTTTTTTTTGAAGACTCCTAATTTAAATGTTAAATTCAATTATTAATATCTATAATTTTTTTTTGAGAAAAATTAATATCTTTAATTACTGATAAGCAAGAATTATGAAAATTTGATATTTTAAAAATATATATTGTGAAGAATCTAACAATATATCACACAAATATATTTTTTATTAGTTATAAAGTACAAAACACAGTCAAATAGAATTATGTTTTCAAAAGAAAAGGGGAACAATCGAACAGAGTAATATAGAGTATAGACCTATTGTCCTCCTTATTTGTCCTCAGTTTCCTAACGAAGCGGACTCCAGTTTTTCCACTGAAGCGATTTCTGAAAGTTCTATCATCCATTGTAGCAGCGTACGAGGTAAGATGGTTTTTATTAATTTTTGGTTTTTGTTTATTATTCTAGGGTTTTTTCGCTAATTTAATTGTCAGGATGGGTCTATTAAATTACAACATTTTCTCTCTTAATTCATATGCTTTTTTCGTGCGTAATTTGAAAAATTGAATCAAATTTGGTTGCTAATGTGTTGCAGAACCCTATTACTAAATTAGTTTTGTTGTCGTATCTAAAATTTAAGCAAAACCCTTGTTCTTGCTTTCAATTAGATAAGATTAGTATTTTCATAGTGCTACTAAATTTACAGATATGGAGGTGAATAACAAAACAGATAAGAAGTATGTACAGAGGGGCTTATCCAAATATCAATTGTTTGGTGATGATGGTATGCCTAATTATGCTATGAATACTACTCCCTTATTCGAGGTGTTCTCTGTTAGCGTGAATACTAAGCGCTCTGATTGTGATTCTTGTGAAATATATGGTACTATTAAGGCTACTAATGGATTAGGTCATGTTGTATATCTTTACAATCGAAAACACTACGACCCTGAGTTAATTAAGCCGAATAGTGCTGGCTACAGTCGTTATTTGTCCTTAATTGGACTTAAGGATGGTTGTGTCATTATACCCCATGAATATGTCACTATTGAGGTGGATCTAAGGGACAGGGCGCGAAACAATGCTGCCATTGCAATTGGAAATTTGAGTTTCAACTATAAGGAAACCTTTTACTCAGGACATGGGGCTAAAGATGTTGTAGGTCAGGCCGGGTTTGTGACCATACATTATGCCACTTTCCCGTATGCATTGACAGCTTCTGTGGATGTGGTATTTTTCAGCAAGAATGATGATTATGATACAATAGACTATGATCCCGATGAATATAGTGTTGATCTTGCAGATTATGATAGTTCTGGATATGAAAATAGCGATGATGTTGCTGATATTTATGGAACTGTTGCTGCACACACCGATTTTCCTGGCAGTGGCTCCTATGGAGACAATACTACTATTTCAAGTATACTTTTAAATAAGCCACATAGTCAATGTGTACGGGTGATGTCTAGAAATTTTATTGAGTTATCAAGATGTATGGTTGCTGTGCCAGCTTCTTCGAACTTTCCCCTTAAAATCCATGTGGATTTCAAGTTTAACGATGGAAGCAGATTAGTTGATGGGGTCTTAGGATTTTCATCTGACGACTGCAGCCAAATAAAGAAGGATATAGTGGGAGAAAATGGGCGTATTCGAGTGCGAGTAAAATGGGGTGATGCATATGAGCAACGTTATAGAGGAACTGATCTGAAACGAAATTTGAATCAAGTGTTAACCCCTGGGAATGAAGAGAGCAAGCTCGAGGAACTGGTTAAAAGGCAGTGGGTATTTGTTTTTTGTTTTGTTTTTGTTCTTTTACTTGGTTATTAGTAGTTTTATACTCAATTGACTTTCGATGTTTGTTCTCTCTGCAGTTTCCTGATGATCCACAACCCTCATCAGTCTTTAGGTAGGTTGCTCTCTCTTTTGTTGGTTTCTTAGGTTCTCATGCCACTAGTGTTTTGTTTAGAGATTAGTCATATATGTTTTAAGGACTGTTATTACCCTTATCTATTATATTTGGTGACAAAATAAAGAGAAGGAAGAGGGGGAGAGGAGATGGTGATTGAGGGAGGACCGAAGGAGGAAGGGGTGGTGGATTACTATTTTTAAAATTCAAATAACAAAACCATGACTATAGCTCTCCACACCCACACCTCCCTTTTCAGCATGCCAGCAACTCATACCGCTTCTTATAACCACCTCTTATTTTATACTTTATTGCCTTTAAAATTTTCTCTATAAGAGGGACTGATTTTTTACTACCAGGTTGCCGCAGACACCTATGTACATTAGCCCCACGCCGCTAGTGGAGGTGTTTTCAGTTGGTGTTGGTAGCAATGATTTGAAGCCTCCCTTCAAGCTATAGGGAAGTATCAGTGTTGAAGGTCATGGCCGCTGTAATTTGTTCAAAAGAGATCAGTGTTCCCCTCAGATTTGTTTTGACAAAATCGAGGTCCAATTTTGTCGTGGTCATGGATTTTCAGCTCTGGACGATTTTGGCATTTTTGTTGACCTCAAAGATGTTGAGGGTACTGTGTTTATTGAAGGACATACCCGGTGGGTAGTCCACTTGTCCGACTCATGGTATAACAAACGGATATGTTCTCTTATTCGAGGGAATCATGGATTTGTAGCAGCGCATTATATAGTTATTTATGGTGGAGTACAAGCTAAAGTGAAGGTTTTGGTTAAAGGTAATGATAATGCTTTGAACTTACCCACCAAGTTTTATGGAACTATTGTTGCTCGTTATAGCAACCATGAATACTCAACTAATTATGATATGAAATATTATCAAAGTGTTCTATTTGAGAAAGGTTTAGATGATCTTATAAACTACCTTGAAAAAGATGGTTCATTGCCGTTGTCAAAATCTTTGGTTTGTGTGCCTCAGAATTCCTCGCTGATTGTAAAAGTAAACTTAATAATTGATGGTGTTGGTGTTGATTTACTGCAAGACAACTTGGAATTCAAGACTGATGGTCTTATGTCTTCTAAAGCGATTTTGGGACAGAACTACTCGATTTACATTTCGGCAAAATGGCCTGAGGTAAATTAGAATGATTTTGGGACAGGAGTACTCAGTGAAGTCAAATAGTTTGGTTGTAATAGTGCACTTCTGAAATAAGAGCTTATATAAGTTGAAAAATGGGTTGAGGTCAGATAGTTTGGTTGCAAGTGTACTGTGCCTATGAAATAACTTTAATTTTTATTTTCTACTCCATTTGTTTCTAAAATTAGTTTCTATATTCCGTTATGTGAAATTATATTTTATCCATTTCTTTATATATTTTTTTACAAACTTTCTCTAAATACCTTTTATAGTTGGTGTCCATATATACTCCCTCTATATAAAGTAATACGTAGTATAATACTCCTATTAAGCAAGTAATTATGGATTTACGTTTGGTGGAAACATAAAGTATGAGTTGAGATTTCTCTATTTTCAAGTTGAGAATAGAGAAAATATGGAAATATTAAAGTATGATAGTTTATGGTTCATTAGGAGAGCAGAAATTAGTATATGGTATCCTTTAGTTATTAGAAAGAGGAATCATCTGCAGTGGAGAGACCAAATATTACCCAGGCTTCCCTGATCCATCATTTTCCTTTATTTATTTATTTATTTTTAATATACTGCATAATGTTCCGACTAACTCAGGTTTTATCATTACACATAGATGAAGCTGTTAAAATCTTTACTCATTTAGACTCATGAACCATGACGACTACTAACACAGCAATGGAGTACCCCTTAAGGATACCAGAGTCCGCCCATGCAAATAGAATTATATTTTGAATTGTAGATTTTTACAGGCTTCTCGAATGTATGACGGTTCTGCAATTTCCAACCACAAAAATTAATTGAAGAACACTTCCAAATTTTTTCAGCACTAAGTGCATCAAGAGCTTGCAAGATCTGATAGTGAGAGAAAGTAACAATGTATGCTAAATGATTCAGCAGTGTTATAACTCATATAAATGTATTCATAGTTGAATCCAGTTCAGTTTTGCAATACATCGTAGTTAAATCCAATTCATTATCATGTTAAAAATAGAACCAAATGTTTCAAACTAACAGTCGGTGTCACAGCTCAACTTTGATCATGCAATACATGAAATTAGATTACTTTATAGATCTCATTGTTCATATGACATATCAATAAATTTTAGGCATGGTATGCTGACAAGACAAACCAGAAAATAAAACACTTTTACCTGATTTGCTGTGTAAGTTCTTTTAGGAGCTGTATCAGCATGTTCCCACGCACCATAATCCAAGGTACTGTTGCAAGTTCTTTTAGAGTACCCCCTCACAAACGACAGTGTCAGCCCATGCAAAGAGAGTAATCCCAAAATCACGATTCTGCAATATGCAACCATAAAAGTTATTGAATAACAGTTGCAAGTTTTTCAAAGGCTAAGTGCAATAAGCGTTGCAAGATCTCAAAGCAAGAGAGGTAACAATGGATGTTAAATGCTACAGCAGTGATGTAACTGCAGTCATAGTTATATCCAGTTCAGTTCATAGTTGAATCCAGTACATTTTCATGTTATAAACAGAGCCCAATGTTTCAAACTAACAATAATCTGGCACTGTTCAAGTTCAATCATGCAACATCTGGCTCTAGATTACATCTAAAGCCTCATTATCCATGTTTCCAAATCAATCTACATTCAAAAATCTTAAGGCACGGTATTATACTATGTAAGACGGTGTGAAACTCCTCGTGTAGCATATTCTCATTCATCAAATATATAGATTACAACCTAGGAATCTCAACAGGTACAATCCTAAGTATATGAGAAGATGCATTACACCAAAGGTCATCAAGTATTTACTTGGAGTATTTACTGTGAGAATACTAATCATATTCTCTAACATACTACTTGTATTATGATAACGACGAATCAGTATAAAAGGCACTTTTACCTGATTTGCTGTGTATGTTCTTTTAGGAGTTGTGCTAGCATGTTCTAATCCAAAGGTGCTATTCCCAAGCACCATAAACATTCTTCTCTGGAAGGCAGACAGAAGGACCAATTCAAAAAGAACAAGATGTTTTCATCAGCAGCAACAAGAACCAAACGACTTCACATAATATGTCAACTTGAACACATAACCATGAAATGCAGTAACATAAAAATTCAGCATACCTTGGAAAACTTTTCATCTGGAACTCGAAATTTCTTTTGAATATAACCCTGACTCAGACAAAGTTTCTCCTTCATGACTCACCAGCAAAAAAGGCTCGCCGAAGTTCTATATTTGCTATTAAGGTAAAAGTCGATCAAGATGTATTCAAAGATCCAATATAAGCCAGATGTCCAAGACTCAGAGTCATCACTAGGTATAAAGAGAAAGAGGTTTGAGGGAGAGACTTTGAAAGGACTGTTTATAGATGTAAGGTATCTACCATTTGGTTCTGTACTGTCTCTTTAGTGAAATGGTACACATAAATAACTGGATCATGAGGACCGACCCAGGTTCTTCTCTTCTTTGGGAATCTACGAAACAAAGCATTAAACAACATCAGGATTAATCCATAGTTATGTCCAGATATCATTACATGCATTGACATAGAAGGCTATTTGGCAACATTAACATTATAAAGATCTAAACAATGATGTAGCTACAAAAATATTGGTCAAATTTGATAACATTAACCACAGAAGTCAATTGACCGAATAATTTGAGTGGAAGATTATTAGGTAACACTGACCTCTCCTGCTCGTGAAGTCCAGTTTCATCAGGTGGGAAAATCTGCAATAAATAAACAAAATAAATATGAGTACAGATCAAGTTCTATTTACATAAAAACAAGACACATCAAGATTGCTAAATCAAGGTCAAAGGACAAAGATGGTAGCAGCTCGATCTATTTATTTTACTTAGTGCATATCAACATACACATGTATTACGTATAGCACTGCATAAAACCAAGTCTGTACCTTTGTCTTCATATCACTAAGAATATCAGACGATCTGTAATGTTTATGCCCTGGTGCCATACACTTACTAATTACATTGGTATAGGGAAAAAAAGGTGTCACCACTCAGTAAGTAATGCACGTAATCAAGGAAAAAATATGCCTAACCATCTGTAGAAAGCAGGCTCTATACGAATTAAAATGCAACTCTGTAGGTGCAAATCAGTAGAAACTTCTAAAAATTTGTTGTCCAAAACAGAGAATGTATACCAAGTTGCAACAAATGTCATACTAAAAGAAACTACAACTTTTGATTGAACAACTAACCAGCCAATTCAATTTCTTTATCAGCAACATAGCCACTAGCCAGCCAATTCTTTCAGCTTTCCTAAAATCTATCCTGGTTTTCCAGTGGCCTTAACAAAAAGTCTTCCTACGTAACTGAAGTGATGAGAGGGAGGAAAAACATTACTGCCATTATAAATAAGATTGCACACAATACGTTCACTAGAATCTATTATATATGATGAAGTGATGAGAGGGTGGAAAATCATAATGCTTGAAGAACAATAGAATCTAAGCCTTTGTCTTGTCCTGTATGATAATATAACAACTTTAATCATTACCAGAAAAACGTGTTTTCTTAGTGCTGCAATTATGCTATTCCAGCCACAAAAACTTACAGTTCTATTTTTACACAATGTTAATTAAAATCAAAAAGAGGAAAACATGACAGAAACTTACTATTCCAAGAACAATTTAAGTTCTGCATTATGAACCTTAATAGATACTTCCCTTAGCTGTCCAACCTACAACACAAATTGGACAAAAAAATCATGAGATCCACCGCATGGAAAATGGCAAAAGCATGCATTATTGTCACTGATATCTTCAATTCAACCACAAACTTAACACAGAATAAAGAACTAGCCAAGTGTTTCACTTTAAAATTATCGTAAGGAAAACGATCCGGGAAAAAGGTATCCCTTCAGTTTAGTCATTATTAAACAAAATTCACAGGGAAAAAGGGAGATCTACATATGTTTATAAGATGTAAAAATACTTGCCAAACACAATGCAAAGGGCTGGAACTGATGACTAGGTTTCTTCCAAAGGTGTCAATAGTTGATTTGGCCAATATGTATGATTGCCATTACCTCTCAATTAGTATTGGGATGCCAAATTCTTTAGCAATTTCCTCCTGCATGGATATAATGTCAAAGCTTACGTATGAATCAAGCAAATTTACTTGCCTAATCAAGACCAAAAAAAAAAAAAAGTGATCAGATTGGTAGGTTAATGAAGTGCTGTGTTGATGACATGGACAGCCCTATGACCTAAAAGGTGGCATAAGGCCTACATAAGGAGCAGTTCCAGTGAGTGTAACAAAAGATGGAAAATAAAACTTCAATAGCCAACCTGTTATATATAAAGTGTTAGGTTTATCCTTTGACAAGTAGTTGGTACATATAGGATGTAGGAGTAATGGTATGTAGTAGGAAACATTTTCTCTGTAAAAAGACAGCAGCAAATGCTAAAGATTATCCGTGACACGATCCAAGAGCTACAATTTTAGGTCTATCGACACTTCTTTCCTAGTCCAAAATAAAAATAAGTTTCATAAACTTGTACATCAAAGGTATTATGAAGTTCATTTTGTACTCGCATCAAGACAGGGCTGCAACTCTTTCCAGGATAGTGTATGTTCGTAAAAAAAGGAAGGATATACAGATGAATTACCTTGAAAACATCAAATGGCACCTGCTTCTGAATTCGAAAAGATTCAACTTTGTCATGGTCTACAAGATCAAAATACTAGTAGATATCCTTCCCTATTTGCTCGGTCAAGTCATCATCTCGTGCAACCTAGAAATAAAACCTTCAATCAGAACATACATTAACAAGGAAAGAGTATACATACCTAGGATTACATCCAGAGAGAAAAAAGCAGTAACCTTTATGATGGTATAAAGGTGTGCCTCTACCTTCTCCTTCTCCTCCTTTTTCTTCCGGTTCTCTCTTGCAACGTTCCTGGATAGAGAACAAACAGATTAATTCTTTAAACATTGCATCTTAGAACACAGCACAAAATTAGCACCACACAAAGTCTCACCCTTCTGCAATGTATTCTTCCACGTTACACAATCTTCTCTTTTTCACTTTTGCATATATAAACAAGCATATACACATTTGAATATTTTGTGAGCTTGAATGGAGTGTTATTGAAGCCAGGATTTGTCTGTGGTAACTGTAAAGAAAAAACAATGTAGGATAAGTTATTCATACAAGAAATATTCCCGCAGTGCCAATTAAAA